AGTTTTTGTTCCTAGCTACTACGATGCCGTTTGTATTATGGCTTTTGGTTTACTTCTGGCTGCTTCCTTGCCGCTTATTACACTTTATATTTCTGGTTACTTCGCTCCCGTTTGTTTTAATATATCTACAGTTTTTATTTCCGGCTACTTCCTTGCCGTTTGTTTTATATATTTCTGGCTACTGCGATGCTGTTTGTAATTGTAGTATCGCTTTTAGATCAAATATGCGGTTGTTATATACGTTGCTATGTGTCGCCAGTCATTAGCGACGCTTGGGTGCATGCATATATTGATGTATTGTATTGCACACTAATTAGGCGGGTGGGTCGCGCGGGCGGAAAGAGCGGGCTTTGCAGACAAAAGTTTGCACAAAATTTTAGTTTTATAAAATTGTCAAGCGATTTCTATATTTTATTGGTAGGTTTTTAGAGTACTAAAACTCGGATAAGGTTAATAAATTTAAGCTATATTAAAGCACACCGGTTGCTATGTGTTGTTAGGGTGCAACTAATTGAAGGATTAACTTTTATCAGAGATTTGCATTTTCTACTGTGTGGATAAATACGGGTAGATTAGGATATTCATTGCGCGGGCGTCGCGGGTTATCCGTGCAGGTTGGAAACACAACAATAAGGAGGTTTATATTGGAAGAGGGAAAGCAATTTAGACAAGGCAGGAGCGCTTTGCAGCCAAAAGTTTACACAAGAATTCAATCTTAAAATATACTTATTTCTTCGAGACGTTTACAAAGTTAATGTGGTCTACTTCTTAGAGCATAATGTGTTTGATTTTATTTAAATTTATACGCACAACAATTTAAATGTGTTTTTTTTGTAATAAGAGTCGTTTGGCTTAATTGTTCATTCGCCATGGTTTCTATACTCCTAGCCCTACATCGATCCTACATCGACCCTACATCGACCTCACATCGACCCTACATCGACCCTACATCGACCCTACATCGACCCTACATCGACCCTACATCGACCCTTATTTTCATCTTCTTATCATCCTTCTTCATCTTCTTATCATCCTTATCTTTATCTTCCTTATCCTTATCTTTATCTTCCTTATCTTTATCTGTTTATCTTGCTTATCCTTATCTTTATCTTCTTATCTTATCTTCTTGTCATCCTTATCTTTATCTTTATCTTCCTTACCCTTATCTTCCTTATCTTTTCTTCTTTATCTTTTTATCTTCCTTATCCTTATCCTTATCTTTATCTTCCTTATCCTAATCTCTATCTTCCCTCTCTTTATCTGTTTATCTTCCTTATCCTTATCTTTATCTTCTTATCTTTATCTTCTTATATCCTTATCCTTATCTTTATCTTCCTTATCATCCTTATCTTTATCTTCCTTATCTTTATCTTCTTATCTTCCTTATCCTTATCTTTATCTTCCTTATCCTTATCTTTCTTATCCTTATTATAATCTTCTTATCTTCCTTATCCTTAATAATCCTCCCGCTATATTGATATGTTCAACACAACTTAGGCTCAGAATCGAGCTCGAATGGCTTTATGATTCAATGATTCACTCTATCATTCAATGATTCAATCTTATGATTCAATGATTCACTCTACGATTCAATGATTCACTCTATGATTCAATGATTCACTCTATGATTCAATGAATCACCCTATGATTCAATGATTCATTCTTATGATTCAATGATTCACTTTATGATTCAATTATTCACCCTATGATTCAATTATTCACCCTATGATTCAATGATTCAATCTTATGAATCATTGAATCTTAAAATTGAATCATTGAATCATAAGATTGATTCATTGAATCATAGGGTGAATAATTGAATCATAAGATTGAATTATTGAATCATAAGAATGAATCATTGAATCATAGGGTGATTCATTGAATCATAGAGTGAATCATTGAATCATAGAGTGAATCATTGAATCGTAGAGTGAATCATTGAATCATAAGATTGAATCATTGAATGATAGAGTGAATCATTGAATCATAAAGCCATTCGAGCTCGGCTTCGAGCCATTCGAGCTCGATTCTGAGCCTAAGTTGTGTTGAACATATCAATATAGCGGGAGGATTATTAAGGATAAGGAAGATAAGAAGATTATACTAAGGGTAAGAAAGATAAGGATAAGGAAGATAAAGATAAGGATAAGGAAGATAAAGATAAGGATAAGGAAGATAAAGATAAGGATAAGGAAGATAAGAAGATAAAGATAAGGAAGATAAAGATAAGGATGATAAGGAAGATAGAGATAAGGATAAGGATAATAAGAAGATAAAGAGAAGAAGATAAAGATAAGGATAAGGAAGATAAACAGATAAAGAGAGGGAAGATAAAGATTAGGATAAGGAAGATAAAGATAAGGATAAGGAAGATAAAAAGATAAAGAAGATAAAGATAAGGAAGATAAGGATAAGAAAGATAAAGATAAAGATAAGGATGACAAGAAGATAAAGATAAGAAGATAAAGATAAGGATAAGGAAGATAAACAGATAAAGATAAGGAAGATAAAGATAAGGATAAGGAAGATAAAGATAAGGATGATAAGAAGATGAAGAAGGATGATAAGAAAATGAAAATAAGGGTCGATGTAGGGTCGATGTAGGGTTGATGTAGGGTCGATGTGGGGTCGATGTGAGGTCGAGGTAGGGTCGATGTAGGGTCGATGTAGGGCTAGGAGTATAGAAACCATGGCGAATGAACAATTAAGCCAAACGACTCTTATTACAAAAAAAAACACATTTAAATTGTTGTGCGTAATTTAAATAAAATCAAACACATTATGCTCTAAGAAGTAGACCACATTAACTTTGTAAACGTCTCGAAGAAATAAGTGTATTTTAAGATTGAATTCTTGTGTAAACTTTTGGCTGCAAAGCGCTCCTTCCTTGTCTAAATTGCTTTCCATAGGGAGCCTATTGTTGTGTTTCCAACCCGCACGGATAACCCGCGACGCCCGCGCAATGAATATCCTAATCTACCCGTATTTATCCACACAGTAGAAAATGCAAATCTCTGATAAAAGTTAATCCTTCAATTAGTTTCACCCTAACAACACATAGCAACCGGTGTGCTTTAATATAGCTTAAATTTATTAACCTTATCCGAGTTTTAGTACTCTAAAAACCTAGCAATAAAATATAGAAATCGCTTGACAATTTTATGAAACTAAAATTTTGTGCAAACTTTTGTCTGCAAAGCCCGCTCTTTCCGCCCGCGCGACCCACCCGCCTAATTAGTGTACAATACAATACATCAATATATGCATGCACCCAAGCGTCGCTAATGACTGGCGACACATAGCAACGTATATAACAACCGCATATTTGATCTAAAAGCGATACTACAATTACAAACAGCATCGCAGTAGCCAGAAATATAAAACAAACGGCAAGGAAGTAGCCGGAAATAAAAACTGTAGATATATTAAAACAAACGGGAGCGAAGTAGCCAGAAATATAAAGTGTAAATAAGCGGCAAGGAAGCAGCCAGAAGTAAACCAAAAGCCATAATACAAACGGCATCGTAGTAGCTAGGAACAAAAACTGTAGATAATAGATATAAAACAAACGGTGGCGAAATCGCCAGAAATAAACTTAAAACTGTAGAAAGACAAACGGCAGCGGTTCAAAAATATCAAGTAACCTCGAATAAATTAACGTGAGTGTGAATAAATTAAATGACTTATGACGTCATGGGTGGTACTGAGTGCACCACCTGCACCACCTGGCCTAGAACCCCCACTCTCTATACTACTCATATATCATGGCCAAAACCGCTCGCCCACAAAATTATAAGTATTCTTTAAAAACAATTAAACCAGTTTAAACAATCTATTTGTTATCCTCAGGCAATGACAAGATCAAAAATTTATAGTAAAAGGCCTGCTTTGGGTGAAAATTTTCGATATTTTTTTAGGTTATTTTCAGACTGTCTGAAATTATCAAATATTTCAAGCCGTCCGATTTCATGAATTAAGGCTCGATCCAGTTTGGATTTTGTTTAGGAAAAGGAGCAAACAATTAGTAAATCAGGTAATATTTAGTTTGCTTACTTTCCGATCTATATGTTAAGTGTCACCTATCACATTACATGTCAAGTAGCTTTTTACGTATATTATCGGGATATAGTACAATTACAACTTACGCCCGTATTCTAAAAGCTCACTCACACTCAATGAGTGGAGGTTCAGTCTGAGCTTCTCTCGAGTATCAATGCTGTGTTTGAATAGCTAGAGAGTTAGTGTCGTACCTTACTATGTGACTACTCACCCTCCAGCTATTCAAAAACAGCACTGACACTCAACAAAAGCTCAGATTGAACCTCCACTCATTGAGCGTGAGTGAGCTTTTAGAATACGGGCGTAAGTCTGCAAGGCAATATTTCGTATAACAAATTATTGAACATTGTGGGGAACGACGATGTCTTAGTACTTAGTCAAACAGTACAAAATGTTCAGTACAAAATGCGAGGTTTGTTTACACGGCTGTGTAGCGTAGTAATAAAAATATTTAAGTTGTGTATTCTTTAACTATACAGTACACAAGTTACCGTGTGACGACACCGTTAGATTAAAGGCGCTCTACATTCGCTGTGGGGGTTGCGTTTGTTATAAAAAATCCGAAAATAATGAGCAGTTCGGATGCGTATATACTAAAATAACTCTGTAGTGAGAATTTGGTTCTGCATGACCAGTATGATACTTTGCCAATCTAACTTATGTGGGCTGTTTATATGGAAACTGGAGCGGGATGAATTCCTCTTGTGTAATTCATATCTGAAAATTTAATCTCACTTGACGAGACTATTTTGCTACTTTGACATTTGTTTTGATCATAACTGTTGATCATACAGTTGATCATAACCATGGTTTACTTTAATTGACAAGAGTAAGCGCAGGACATTGTTTTCTACTACGCTATTGGTTTCAGTTACCACTGCGCCCGTACAATATTCACAGCTTTTCAGGCAGCAAAGAGAAATAATCTCCAACTGAAGAGTATGGATTTCTCTGATCCACAAGGAGGGAAAGGCTCGTGCGATCGGAAGGCTGCTACGATCAAATCACACATGGCAGTTCATTTAAATTCAGGTCATGATATCGAAAACCCTGTACAGATGAAGGAAGAGATTGATTCATTCGGAGGTGTGCCTGGAGTTGAATTCACGATATGTGGCTCTAGATATTCTAAAGGATGTCGAAACATCAAATGGTCAGGAGTCGGTCTCTTGAATAATATCCAGTTTAACGAAGAAGGTTTGAAAGTGTGGAAAGAATACAATGTTGGCCATGGTAAATCTATACTATGGAAAAACATTGATGCTCCAGGTGAAGAAATAGTGACGAGCGTTGTGATAAAGAAAAGTCCTTCAAAACCAAATTTTGTCTGAATAAAGCCAAGAAAAACAGGCATCTAGCGCCAGTTCAAAATACTAATAAGTTCATGAAGTTTCTCTTTCACACAATATTAATAACAGAATGACGAGAATTGGAGAATATATAAGTATAAAATTATGTTTATTTAATATTGTATCAATACACTGTTGGCCAGTAAGCTAGGTTCTGTATGCTTGACTGCTCGCCCAGCACCCTCCCCCCTAGAGAAATCTTGCTGGATCTACTACTGGGCCTTTTAACAAATAAATGTATGCCATAGGTTTGAATTATTTGGATTATACAATGTTGGTGCAATCTCGATTGTGATTGACTAAGAACTATACACAATCCTCTATGCCTATTCACCTAAAACGACATTGAAAATTGCCTGTTCGTAACATGATTTTTTAATGAGACCCCCGACAAGGTTTTCTTCCCTGCCATTATAATAACATCATAATTGCATAATAAAACAATTACTGAATTTGGGTTTCACATGATATCAAGACCGATCAATGTTATCTGCCAATTTAATATAAAAACAACAATCTAATATCATAATTAGTATTGTATAATTAGGATTAACCAATCACAAAGATACATTAAATATGGGCTGATATCGTTTTCCTAGAAATAGTAAATCAGAGCTACATCAAATATTTTGCACCTACATAATATGTCAGTTTGGATAACTCATGGGTTTTCTTAATTTCTGTAGATATACATAATGAATGAACTCAAACAGATACCTTTGTTTTGTCAGCAAGTTGGGACCACAACAATGGTATCTTTTCCGGATACAAGAGCTTCAGTAGCATCAAATTGTCTGGTATAAACTTTTGATGTCCAAATACATTTTTAAATTAAATTCCTAGACTTGTCATATTATTTGAAAAGCTATGGTTTGCAGCACCGTCCATTAAAATTCTTTCTGGAGTTGTAGGCAATGTTCCACTTTCAACAGTTTCTCCGCGACTTTTGGTAGCAACAGTAATGGCATCATTAATTGGAACAATTAATATCATTGCCAAATGACACTTTATATTCTGTGTACATTAGTTCATGCTAGATTGACACATCCCCCATGGAATTATTCTGTTGAATAATTAAGATATTTGTTTGTTACCATAGTCACTACTATAGGTTAACTTGGCAATTATAATGATAAATCTAATTAATTATTATTAGTATTATTGTTATTTGTTGTTTTAAAGACCCCTTGAAACTTTCAAAGAGAAAGTTTTGAACTCATTTATTAGCTTTGTTATGATAAGTACATCAAATAAACAGACAGACAGACATATAAAGTACAAGTGGCAGGGTTACTGCAACAGAATTTATACTCCCAATTACATGTAAACATATTCACACAAACATTACAACCCTGGGTGGTAATGGCCATTCATTAATAACATCATGCCACCAAAAAGGCAACAACCTTGCAACAACTAGGTTCATCCAAGAGTTGTAAATTATAAAAAGTACACACAAATCTTGTTAGGAATTGGGATCTGTTCCAAATCAAATACATATACACCGGGGAGTGGACACAGCAATGAATACATACTTTATAGTACATATACTTTTTCGTAAATATACTTTTGTATTTTTATTCAATCAAAAATAATATATTTAATACTCACATACCGTCTCTAATCGCAGATTCGACAACTGTTTCACCAGAGTGCATTGTTTACCAGAGTGCATATGCTGTGATTGAATTTCAAGGAGTGATGTTTATTTATATAAACTTTGAAACGTTTCTTCGGTCCAACATTGTCAAAAAAACTTTACGTCCTCGTTGTTCTCAATGCACTTTGAACAAACCAATTCACCACAAACTTTGCATCTTGAAACGGTCTATTTGTCACAGACAAATTGTAATTTGACGCCATTTTGGAAACATTATATGGCAGAGCCTTACGTAGCTTCCGTCTTCCCATCATATCAGCGCGTTTTGACTAACAATTACGTAATTTGTTTCCCAAGTAATATTACGTAATTTTACTAAAAATTCGTAAGGCTGTGCGCAGGAGAGTGAGTGAATTCTGTTAGCTGGACTCCTGGAACTTTGAGTTTATGTAGTTAGGGATAACTCCAAAAGCGAAACAGCTCAAAGGAACTTTTCACGTTCAAGGTATGTATTTTTATGTTTTCTTCAAATTCTCTAAATTAAAGGCGAAGAACGAAGATGTTGTAAACGAGTTTATTTCAAGGGGTTTTTAGTCATGTAATCGCAAAACAGAGATTTTTGCATATTTAATGAACCAAAGTTAACTCTTTCTCGAAGCGCGTAAAATTATGTGCCCATAATAAATCATATATTTTTGAAAAGAGAGTTTCCCAATAGTGCTTGTGCAAAATCTCATAAGATTTGAAAGGAAGGCAAAATGGGGAAATCTCAGTGCCGCTTTTAACATGCACTGACAAACATTAAAAATCAGTACCAGTCGCTCTTTATTGTGCACAAATGTGTCCAGTTTTCAATTATCATAAAAGCACTGTTACTAAACGAAGGAGTGATGTACCTTTAGTAGAGAGTTTGATAAGGCTATTTGAATTTAGGGTTTGGATACCAAGATTAAGTAAACATACGCTATTTCGGCCATACTTCGATTGCGAAAATCGATCCTCATAGGGAGGATCAAGCTGTGGTCCAACCCTGCCGTAAATAATATTGATTACTCGAGGATGTAAAATGGATATATACTTCAAATTGCCAAATTAAAGGAAGTGTTCAAAGGACAATTTAATCTACAAATTTACAATTCTAAAAATAACAAGAAAACTTTACGTCATACGTTTCCCCCTATGGCATTGCATCACTGTTACGATACAATAATTATTAATCAATGATGTATAAATCCGCTATCCTGCTATACTAAGCTTGGTGAAAGAAAAGTTCTAATCTGCTTGGTTTGAGAGTAGAAGCTATACAACAAGTTCACAGACATAGCGATATTTACGCGAACATGGCTCATCATTCCACTTCTCTGCTTTATCGGGAACTGCATACATCTCGACGCAATTTTCTCCCCTGCCACGATAGTTATTTGGTTCTCCCGCCTTCCAGTTTGCATAAGAAACGCCGACGCCACCGGTGGTGATAAACTTGTTGTTTTCATCCCTATACACACCAATCCATGCCTCTCCAACACCATGAACTTTAAGAAGCTGGTAAATTTGATAATTGATTTTCAAACTATTTGGCACGGCCAAATCGCCACCACGATAACGGCAATTCTTTCGAGCCACATTCCAACTACCAGTTTTATTACTAAGATAGTAGCAATAACCATTAATTTGCAGCGAGTTGTTGGGACAAACAGCATCTATAAAAAGACAATTTAAATAAGATTGGTAAATATGTATCTAGTGGAAGTGCGACATTTTATTAAAAGTTAATACAATATTACGCCTTAACGATTCACAGTTGAAATAAATTTGTTTTTAGTTTGTTTGTTTCTATTTATATTTCTGCAGCGTGCGATATATTTTAGGATAAGGAAGAGAATGGTTTATTTAGTTATTTCTCATCAGGCCGGTTTCGCATTACATTACGATTCACTGTTTCTAATGTAAATATCTCGGCGAGTATTTACCCCCTTTTAAACGAAAACAACCATTGGAATCCTCACAAAATAACCTTTT